CTCAAGTTGGAGAGCCTTCATGCTTTGCAGCAATGAACAACAGGCTACTACCCTCACTACAGTCTAAAGGTGGCTGCATAAAAGGCCTAATTCTTGTCCACATTAATGAAGTATCAATTGAGCATTCAGTTTCCAGTACCTCTATGATGGTGGAACCAAATCCACACGGTTAAATGGCAATTATTTGAATCTGCGATTCCTCTTCAGAATTGCGATTGCATGCACGCATAGCTGGTTGGAAGGACGATGTGCCACTGAGGTTTGCAGTACATCTATTGCAGTCAATTCCGGTGAGAGTTCTCAGTTTAGAACTCTACTACCTCCTGTGCAATAACACTCGGTAATTACCATACTCTCTACTTCCTGTCTTCCTTCCATTGCCCATCTTCCAACCATCCATTCAGACTACTTGTCTTCCTATCCATCTACTTGCCTGTTTACCCATCTACCCATCAGTCTGATGTGCACATTGAATGGCTCTGATCGGTTCATTTAAAGGAAACCGCGGTAAACCTCCCACTGCTCCTACTATACAGTCCAACCTCTCCTCCCGAATTGCCAATTTTTACTCACAAATCAAAGGAGACCTGCAATTGTGGAACGGCATGTAGCGACTTCTTCAGTGCGCAATGCGACACTGTTTAAAGGCCCTGAGCAAGACACAGATGGCAGCATGTCATGTTTCTGCAAGTTTCGCGCCCTCAGGCCATTTGTTTCACACCCAATGATGGTGCAAACGGAGGTCAGGGGGAGAGAACGGAATCTCGCTTTGACCATGATTTGCTCTAGTCACGGAGCTTCTGTGCATTTGTTTTGACCTCCTATTCTGCGTTGCTTTCATGCCACATCCGCGGACATCTGCCACCTCCAACTCTTTCCTTTCATTTTCGCAGGATCGGTCCCCTCCTCATGCAAGGCATTGTGCCTCTCAAGACTGTGTGCCACCAAATATAGGGCTTGGCTGACGTGAATATTGTCTGGTTGGCGGTAGCAGAATGCCTATTTTGTGGACACAAAGTGTTTGAGCTGGTCAAAAATGGTCCAATGAGCACCGGTTGCAATAAGTGAGCGGCAGTCCATCAACAAATAGAAGCTGAATGATGTCTTTCAAGGCAGCGATGCAGCACAAATCAGTGTCCACCACGTGCGAGTCTATCAATTTGAAAGGCGTTCTCTTTTCAAAGAAGGCGTCGAAGCCCGAGATGGAGCTGCTTTTGTGAATACGCCACGTTGTAATGTGGAGCCAAACTCAGGTTTGATTAACCGCCCCCGTCCATTCTGTGTCTCATAAAGTTGCTCCTCATCCAAGTAGTATGAACTCACCGATTGCTCGGAGCACTTATCTCAGCGGCAATCGTGTATGCTTTAGAAATGAGATAATGAACATGCAGTTGGAGGTGGCGATGGCGTTGGCTTGTCTATTCTCAACGCATTCGAAAATGAAAGCGCATCAGGAATGCAGGAAGATGTGCAGTCCATAAAGCATGGGAAGGAAAACGGAATGCGGTGATGATCAATTCATACTTGCTGCGTGATCCAGCTGTCATTTGCCAACTCGATCGCTAAGGTCAGGAGCATGCACATAAAATCTGCAGACATAAATAATCAGGAAGTAGATTTGCACGCATTAAGATGGGGTCTGAGAGACCAGCAACGAATTCTATTTATGAGGGTGTTACACGTGTGCAAGAACTGCACCTTGCATTCCATGAAAACCACTCCACTTGAACGAGGAAATTCCATGCAGTGCTTCATACTCTGTTCTCGGGAAAGCCTTCACACATGACACCTTCAGTGTGCTTTTCTACTCAAATTTGTTTGCATGAGCTGAAAAGACTGAAACCATCTTATCTTGATCAATTTCACCTTACGCGCAACACTACCGCATCTAAGACCTAAATATCATTTAAATACCATGCAAAATTTTAACGGACGAATAAACGATGGCAGCGCCCACGAGCTCACGTACCCTTTAGGCAAGAGGTAGGAGTGAGCGGTTGAGGTATGACATTGAGCAAACCACAGTGTCTGGCTGAAGGCGAACAATGGCCTACTGCACTTGTTTGTCCGCTTGTGCTAACCATGAGCTGACCACTGCAGTATCACTGAGTGCCTCACGAAGCTCCGCATCTTCACTTTCATGTGTTAAATAATTTGTGCGTGTGAGTGCACGAACGAGCGAACATGCGTGCATGTATATGCAGAGCATGTGAATGCTCTCATGTTTTTCCTAATTTGATTTGGGATAGAACTGAGGACCCTCAAGAAACTTTGGCGCTCTGACTGGAATTTGCAATTCATTCGACACTGCCAACAAATTCAGGTGAGTGTGCATCATCCGCGAGATTGTAAACCACTCATACAGTCATAATGGGCGTGGAATACATCTGTCAGCGACAGCTGATTGCCAATTACATCAGTTGGTCCATTAAGAAGGCGATAATTTGGGGACATGGAAAGTGAGAGGAAGAGGTGGAAGGGAAAGAGACATGTAAGGTTCATCCTATTACCATTTGGGGTGAGAGTAGCCGGCGTTGCGAGGGAAAGGATGCTCCTCACTCCACCACACCGTGCAATGGCAGGGGCATAGCTGGGCATCGTGTCAATCGGGTACACTTGAAGTGTGCTGCCTCTGCTCAGAGTGAGGGGAAGTTGTCACTGCGACTATGCGTCACATCGCCTATTTGATGGGTGTGCGCCGATATTCGTCGGGACTTACTGAGGCTCACCTAGTAGTAAGCAGCAGCAGAGGCGAATCGTGTCGAGTCGTGACAAGCTGACTTGTGCGCATTGGGCTACATCGCGCTTAGCTTAGCTCAGCTCAGGCCTTACTTCGCACTGAGCACGGCGCGATTTCCTCGAATATACCAGAATTGACAGTGACTACTCGCTTTCGTCTCCTGTCCATTTCTCAATCACTTGTGGTCAGCTCGAGGTAATGCGAACATACGTTGATGAGTAAGTGGTTCGTAGCATCG